TGGTTCATCGCCACTCACCCCATGAGGTGCTTTCTAAAGCGTCGTTACGCTTGTTTATTGCGTTCCTTAGACATCATGCATTGTACCTATCAAGTTTCTTTCTCATTCATGCACGATATTGTATGTACGGTTCATTCAAAGAGGTTCCGTTTGAGATCCTTTATTTAGTGTATCAATCACACTTCATTCAGTTAGTGCATTAACCACACTTCATTCCTTTAGTGTATCAATCACACCTCATTCACCCTTAGTGTGTCTATCACACTTTCTTCGTTCGCTTAGTGTATCAATCACACTTCATTTATTTAGTGTATCAATCACACTCTCTTCACTTAAGTGTATTAATCACACTTCTTTCATTTTGTGTATCTATCACACACATTCTCATTTTGTGTATCTACCATGCGCATATTCACTTTTGTGTATCTATCACATACATTCTCGTTTTGTGTATCAATCACACTTCTCTCATTTTCTGTATCTATCACACACACCCACTTTTAGTGTATCCATCACGCTCGTTCACTAAGTGCATCTATCACACTTTGTGTTCACATTCAGTATATCAATCATACTCTGTTCACATAGTGCATCTATCACACTTTGTGTTCATTTTCAGTATATCAATCATACTCTGTTCACATTGTGCATCTATCACACTTTGTGTTCACATTCAGTATATCAATCATACTCTGTTCACCAAGTGCATCTATCACACTTTGTGTTCACATTCAGTATATCAATCATACTCAGTTCACTTAGTGCATCTATCACACTTTGTGCTCACCTTTTTGTGTATCAATCACATGTTCGCCCTGTGTATCTATCATACATGCACACTGTATTCGCAGTGGGAATTCCATAATTTTCTTACATCCTTTCTACACGAGATGTAGTTTGGCTCGAGTTTACTTGCTTGCCTAGCATTCGCTTAAAATGTTGCATTTATTTCGCATAATTGCTTCATTACAGCTCTCTTTGCATGATCATGAGTGATGCTTGGCTTCGCGTAGCGTATAAGTCCACTCTTCAAACCGGCTTCGCGTAGCGTGTAAGTCCAATTATCAAAATCTTTCTGCATATCATTTTGCATCTTGCCCCCTGCCTGCGGGCATGCCTGCGGGCACATCTCTGTTTATCTTGTATGTTTGTCCAAGTCTTCGGCCTTGTCAAAAATGGGTCGTCTCTGGGCTTTGACATTCACTCCAGTCACTTATGACTGCTTTTATATACAATAATAAAAATACCTAAATTATTAATTGAAATAAATTTTTGTCATCACTATGGTTTGCAAATTTACAAGTACACCTTTGTTAGAATTTTTTATTTAATAGAATTAATTGAAATTTTTTTTCTAATTGCTTTTATATACAATAATAAAAATACCTAAATTATTAATTGAAATAAATTTTTGTCATTACTAAAAACTGTTAATTGACTTGATGATTTATTAATAAAAGTGATTATTTGTTATGATATTTGAAATTTGAAGGGGCGTGATGTAATTTTTAAAACCATAAGGAACAATTTGTATTTGTAACAAACCTCATAGAGCGTTTTTGTAATTTATCCAAAAAAAAAATCTAAACTTTTGGACTATTAGGCTAATTACAGTTAACCCAAATTTTTTACATAATTTAAAAAAACCCTCTATCCAAATTAATTCACCAACCAAACTAAAGGCCAAATAGATTAAAAAATAAACATAAGGGCAAAATGAAAAATAAAATACAAGCCACCAACACCAAAGTTATTCTTATATAGATAGATATATTAAAATTAATAAAAATATTGAATAGTTAGAACTTAGACTTGGTTTTATTTGTCCTTTTGAATGTTAATCCATAAATTGAACTATAATCAATTGTTTTAAAAATTTTAGAATTGAAACCAAAATCATGCCTTCAAAACATCAGACGAAATTGTACAATTTAGACTTATTCAATAGATAATTTTATTTATTTATTTAATACCACAACTTCGTTGCAATCTGGATTGCACAATCTTTGTTATACATCTTACACTTGAGTTGGTATTGACAAAAAAATGTCTCACAATTTTAATTTACAAAATACCCCCACAAGAATTACATAATTCTCCAAGTATCTTCTATCTATCAATACTATTATAAAGTGAACATTAGACTTAATGTAAACACTACAACAAATAAGAGTTTTAGAGACTAAATGTTTTGATCTCTAAAAGTGAAAATTTTGTTATAAAAAACATTTAGGGACCAATTTCTATCGTTATGAGGATAGTCGCTAAGAGGTCGTCCCAAAAAGTCCAAAACAAGGCTTTTAGCGACAAAATTTTGAAAATGTCACTAATAAATAAACTTTTAGGGCCAAAATAATTTGGCCTCAAAATGGTTTATTTTTTTAGACAAAAAATTTGGTCCCAAAAGGATAATAATTCATCACTAATGTCTAATTTTTGTTGTTAAAAATACAATAACGGCACTTTTCGCAACAAAAATATTTGGTCCCTAAAAAATAATTTTGTTTCTAAATTGTGATTTCTAAAACCTTAATTTTTTGTAGTGAAATGACATAGAAAAAGTATTTTGTTAATAAGATGAATGAAGGCTTTATTGATATTGTAATGAGATTAGGATTTATAAAGAAGTCAATGAAAAACAAAAGTAATATATATATATATATATATATATTAAAATTATATAAATATTGAATAGTTGGATGTGGTTTATTTCTCCTCTTGAATCTTAATCTATAAATTGAACCATAATCAATTGTTTTAAAAATTTTAATTTCCAAAATACCCTCACAATAATTACATAATTCTACATGTATCTTCTATCTATTTATCTATCTATACTATCATACAGTAAACACCATACTTGGTGTGAATCTCAGAACAAATTAATTTTCAAAAATACCCTCAAAAATAGTTTTGGAACTGCTAACTTGCAGCCTGAATTGGTGTTGACAAAAATTGTCTCACAATTTTAATTTCCAAAAAACCCTCACAATAATTACATAATTCTACATGTATCTTCTATCTATTTATCTATCTATATTATCATGAAGTGAACACCATACTTGGTGTGAATCTGACAAAAAATTAATTTTCAAAAATACCCTCAAAAATAGTTTTGGAACTGCTAACTTGCAACCTCATGAATGAGTTGGTGTTTTGTGTCTCATAATTTTTATTCCAAAATAAGTCCGAATAATTATGTAATTTTCACATGTAACTTTTTTCTTATAATTTTTTTTTTGCAGAATTCATTAAGAAATCATCTTACAAGTACTTGAATTTCAATTGGTTCATAACATATTCTTATATTCCAACAAACCTTATTATTTATATATTTGATCCACCAAATCTTAATTTTATATTTGAGATGATCTAAACAAGTATACTTTTTGACTTTTTACAAAAAGATATGTAAAACAGTAGAGAAGTGATATGACCCTAATAAATACACTTATCTAAATAAGTGCACTTATATAGTGCATACCAAATAGCTTGTTTTATACTCTCTTTTTTTAAACCCTAAACAACTTGGTGTGAACTATTTTGTACTTTTTTAAAAAATCATAATTTTTGTTGCTCATTTTTTTTTTAATGAAATTAATATTTTTGAAACCTAATTAATGAGATCTATCAAGTAAGCACTCACTAGAATATGTAATTTTATAAAATGAAAATAAATAAATTTGACAGTGTGAATGTTCACATCATGAAACATTTACATTGTTAATGTAAACATTAATGAGCGCTTCACCCTACTATCATTAAGGGTATTTTGGTAACTTTGTTAGCCATATGACATATTGGAACATAGAAAAATAATTTAGGCAAATGAAACATAAGTAAATGAAGAGAAATTTATAAATAAATGCTCTATTTTTTTCGACTTGCACACATAAAATGTGTACTTGGCCGCTAACTTTCTTTAAAAATTAAAAGTAAAATCAATACAACTAAACTATAAATATCAAATTGATGTAACAGTTAAATTTTAGAGATTAGGAGTACAATTTTCCCAAATTATGAAAAGAAATTTGTGGCTATAATGTTATCGAACATAACAAGGAAATCGTAAAATGTCACCGTAAAGCAACAAATCATCAAAACAAAAAATATTTTCCGCTGCCAGGATTCGAACCTGGAATATTCTCATTAGCCGAGTTGATAATAGTTGAGCTACAGCGGATCTTTCAATATGCTTAAGAAGATAATAATATTTATAAAACTAATGTTTTAAGTAGTGTCTTTTTTTTTAAGGGTACTAAGGTGGAGTTTCATGACCTAATTTAATACTTAAAACTGAATATATTAAGTGAAAATTAATTAAGTCTATATGATAATTACAAATGGTATCACTTAAATATAACTTACAAATGGTATCACTTGAATATAACTCTTAAAATATAAGCTAAAAATTAAGAAAATTGTAATTGATAAAAATTATTTAATTCTGACTCAATTTATAAATATTTATACATAAGTGTCAACATATACCATATAACCTCATAAGCTCCACCATCACCGTCGCTGCTATGACCACCACCATCATCCATCACCCTTCCATTGCCACCACTTTCATCACCATTGTCGTTACTACCATAACCATCGTCATTATTTTACTACTACCACCACAGTCGCCACCTATTACCACCACTACTACAACAATTTGTACAATCCTTCACCTCTACAACTATTGTCACTGTTGCCATAACTTTTTTTTTTATCAGCAAAAAAGAAACCTTTATTGATGAAAAACCATACAAGGGATGAGATTACATCAAACAAAGAGAGGGAGGGGGAAGAGTTGCATGCAGCATAGCAAACTAACCCAATCCCAACTAGGTTGGCACCGAAAAGAGAGCCCAATCATCTGCAAGCTTAACCCCAGGAGTTTGGTGAGGAACCAAACCTGACGGGAAGAAAAAGGAAACAAGAGAACAGAATACAAACACAGCAAAACATAACAACGTAAATCAACAGAACAAAAAATCATAATAGAGCAAAAGCAGCAACCACAGCAGCAGGTAGGCCGACCTTAGCATACTTGAACCTTAGTCAAAACCAAATCATAATGCATACTTGAACCTTTGCATCAACCTAGAATCACACAACAGATTCAACCACAACATACTAGCAGACCTTGGCTTACTAGCAACCCAGAGTCAACCACAAACAGCAGAAAAAACAGATAAGCCTATCATAGTACTGTGGAAATACCTAGTGTTCCTGTCACCTTTGAGAGCCAAATTTACTCTTGATTTCTGCATCTATACCTAATCCTTCATTTTTCTCAACTTCAATAACTCCCCTTTGATCTCTTTTCTACTTTGAACTTCATGTTCTTGCAAACGTCTATCTTTAGTAATCAAATCCAGTGCATGCATTGCATCATCTGATTCTTTGAGCTTGGACTCAACATTTCCAAACACTTCATTGTTCCATGCTTTCAATGCTTCTTTCAAGGACTTCAATTTGATTTTTAGCCTATACCCAGCCCAACCCTCCACCTGCGTGCTCACCTATACAGATTTAAACTTTTTCATGAAAGTGGGATGAAGAATCCAAGCATTTAAGAACCTAAATGGCTTAGGACCCCAATCCCTATTATGTTCCATTAAGATTAGAGGGCAATGATCTGATAACAACCATGGCAGGCCCCATAATTTAAATGAAAACCATTCTAGCCATTCTGGACTTACAAGAAATCTATCAAATTTACTCCACCTGTCTCCTTCCTGTGAATTGCCCCATGTATACTTTCTCTCAATCATGGGAACATCTATTAACCCTAAATTATTAATAAATTCATCAAACTCAATCATCCCACTATCTCTTCTTATGCATCCTTTCCTTTCAGCCACTGGTCTAACTTCATTAAAATCTCCTCCAATACACCAAGGATTAGGAAACTTAGGTTGTAGATTGCCCAAAGTCTCCTAAAGTTAGATTGTCCAAAGTCTCCTAACGTTTCCTTCTCATAATTCTATCATTTGGGGCATAAACATTAACAATCACACAATCAATTACATGATGAATTTTACCTGAGAGGATGATTCAGTTCCTGTTACTACAGCAGTCAACTAGCTCAAAGACCTCAGGTTTCCACACACAAAGCGATCTTCCAGCACTACTGTCTGCATCTACTTCCATAAAATCAACCAGATCTTCAGGCCAAATAGATTTGACAAACTGCTCTGATAACTCTGTTCTTTTTGTTTCTTGAAAAAGAACCATATCTACCTTTTTCTGCCTTAGGAACTCTTTTACTCTCAACCTCTTCTCCAACCTTCCCAACCCTCTTATATTCCAAGATACTATCTTCATTAAAAGATTCTAATTACCCCTTGTACTCCTAAGATGCTTCTTCAAGCATCTATTTCTTCCTTCCTCTAAAATACCTGGGCCAAATCATTTTGTTCCATTGTGATAATTCTCTTAATCACCTCATTTTCCTTACCTTTGAAATCTACCCCCAGATTTTTCCCAATCTGTATTGTAGCTATAGCTTCATTTCTTAGACAAATACTTCTTTGATCTTTCCTATTACGTGATAAAGAAGATGAAATTGCCTCAGTTACAGCCATAAAAATAGCTCCTCTGCACAGTCCCTGTTTTGACCACACCTTATTTTGTCCCAGTCATCTTCTCCTTTGTGCAATACGACTCAGACTAACTTCACCCTTGTTTCTACTCTACTCAACTTGACTTTTAGACATCACCTTCTTTTGCTGCAAGTCTTTCACTTTTTGATTAGGTTGCCCAAATGTTTCCACAAGGCCAGATACTACGACTAAAGACAACTGATCTACTGAAAAAGAGTTTGTGGGTTGGGCTACCTCTTTATGCCATTCAATCATGCCTTGATTCAGGCCCACAGATAACCCTTTGGACTGGACCTGATCCAACACCACATCAAGATTAATACTAGGCCTTTGTAAATCATGACTGCTAATGCTTTTCATGAAACCAGCTGACATCCCACTCTTAGTATCCTTTCGACTTCCCATATTAGTTTTCTGAATTATGACCCTGGCCATGCCTTCTTCATTTCCCAAACCTGCACCAACTGCTCTTGTTTCTACCACATTATTACATGTTTCATTTACTACGGATACGGCCACAACACTACTTTTGTTGTTCTCTCTTGCTCTGTAGTTGTCGCCCACTTCAAGTGCCAATTCATCATTGCCTGCCACTTCATCCTCTAACTTAACCACGTCATCAACCTCCTCATCCTCCTCACACTTCCCAACTTCCTTCTCTGTTACACTGAACTGGTAGTTTGAATAATCTTCCTTTTGCTGATCATGACCTGAACCTAGCTCTTCAATCACCCTCACTGTATTTACATTCCCTTTATTAATCAACTTGATACTAGTATTGATAAACTTCATACTCTTCGTCAATATTCTCCATTTACCACAGGCCAAGGTTGTCAGGGACATGGTGTTCACATCAACCTCTAACACCTCACCCCACAACTCCCCAATTCTTTTGAAGTTTGTGTTATTCCAAAGATTAAGAGGTATACCATAGCATCGTAGCCATACCTCCTTTTCTTGATCAAGAATAAGACACTTCCTCCATTCAACCAAGGTTTTGCACCACTCCTCAGTCCAGTCCCCAAGTACCTCCCTCCTATTCCTAAATGCCTCCATTGATTTGAAAGACAGAACTACTACTCTGCCTCCACCTTCTCGAACTCGAACACCCTGCAAATCTCTTCTTACACACTCTTTTCTGAAATATGTAAAATTACAGTGTTTCTTGAGCGTACCAATAACACTTTGGTGTAGCCAACCATTTCCATATTCCTCAGCTATGACAACCTTTTCAAGTGCTTTTTGTTGTTGTCCACCTCTCACCACCTCTGCAAAGGATGGTTTTCCATGCATCCATTCCCTAATCCCATTAATTTCTTTGGCTTGTAACTTCTACTTATCTATTTTTTGAAATCCCTCATTCTGCTCTCTGCCAAACTCAGCATTCTTTACAACTAAGGATCTATTACCACACCATACTCCATTTACCTTCTGTATAGCCAGTTTTGCTGCAACTGGACAATCGTAGCGGACGAAACCAAACCTTGATCTTGTTGCTTTTCTTCTTTTGAATGGAATGAACAAATCTTTTACTACACCAAACTTTGTGAATAAATTATAGAGCCCTTTGGGATCCATAGACTCAGGAGGATTATCCACAAAAAGTGTTTGTAAGCTCAGGTTGCTCCTACTCCTCCTCTGTCTCTGATGCAAGACTGGTATCCATCCTCCTTCGCCCCTAGTTGCTGCTCCATGAGACTTCTCTATTCCCTACGCCATCCTTAGTTGGTTTTCTAAGTTTCACACTGCCACCGTTGCCATAACTACCACCATCATTACACCGCCACTACTCTCTTTTTATCATCACTACGTTACCCCATGGTTGATTCTAACTTTTTAAGGATCCGAAGCGAACCCTAAATATGAGACCTTTCTTCTTTTATTTCTATTTTTTTTAAAATGATCAAAACATTATGTATCGAATTTTGTTTTAAATTTTTACATTTAATAATGCTCACAAAAAGGCTACTAAAATTTACTTAAATATGTAATAAAGTTTACAATAATAAAAAGATTAAAATATAAGCTGCGGTACCAAATAGAAAATAAATTAAGTCTTCTACTTCTTTCTAGAAATAGTGACAGGCTATTGGATACTCGAGAATAGTTGACTGTAAAAAATGGCTTTCTCCAATAGATTTGGAAGTCTCATGAGGCAGACCATTTCACAGAATAGTATATCGAATGGGCAAGTTTCAATGGCATCTATGCTTAATGCCATTCATTGCATGTCATCTTCAAAACTTTTCATTAGAGCTATGAGCTTCAGTATTATTATTTAATGTATTAAATATAGTACAAGTTAATTATAGGTTCCACAATTGAAACCACATTGATCTATCTATGTACTAGGCCTTTCTTTTGGAACTGATGACCAGTCTCTCAGCGAAGCATTTTCTGGCTTTTGTGATGTTTTGGATGGTGAGTTTTAAATATGTTGTCGATGCATTTACACAATATTAGAATGCAAAGCATGCTAAGTTGTCCAAATGCTCGTGCAGATAAGCATAACATGTATTGGCACAAGGTTTTTATTACTTAGTCAGCCAAAAAATGCCTTGTGCAAAGTTTTACAAGTTTTTGTTATTACAGTCGCAGACATTGTTAAAAATAATATTACAATCTTATATTAAGGGTTTAATGGAGTTATCCTTAAAAAAAAAAATTCCAAAAGATGGATGGTACATTTGATTTACTGATAATGGTTATACAAGTGATTAGGGAAAACAGAATACATTTGTGAGATAGAAACAACCCGTTAGTTTCTCCAATGCATCTAGTTGGTGAGTATTGTTGATCAAATGTTTTAGTGATGATCCCCGTAAGTTGGCATTTTTGTTAATTTCAATCAATTGACATGAGTTTCGATGTCTAATTTTTGGATATAAATTTAGGCCTGGTTGGTAGGTTCTATCGTTTTTTTTTTTTTCTTTTTTTTTCTTTTGGTTTGAGCCATCTCTTTTTCTTCTATGACTCTTTCTGCAAAAAGCGGGGAATCTAAACCTTCTAGTACACATATAGGATACCTGAATCAACATGCTAATTTCTTTTGATCTTGAGATATCTAAGGTCTCAATTCTATATTTTACTGATGAAAATCCAATTGATTTTCTGCTGATGTTGAAACTGGTTGAGATATGTTTCTTTCCTTGAGTTCTTTTTGCTTGAGAAAGGATGAAGAAATCATTTTATTGGCATATTGCACATATTTAGTTCAGGGTCTTAAGTTGTTCTATGTTGTATGATGTTGTATGTTGTTGCACTTGCCATCTCATCCTCCTCCGAGCAAAGAGAGCAGAGAGCAAAGAGAGAGGGAGAGAGCACCGAACATCGTCACCGAATCAGAGAGAACACCATCGTCTCCTCCTCTACGCCACCACTACTGCCGCGATGCCAGAGTCACCAAACCTCCATACTTCAGTGTCGGTTCCCTCCACCAAGGCAGATCTGAGCAGATCTCTCTCTTTCTCTACTCAAATCTCTCTCACTCTCTATGATGTTGATGATGCTGAGGATGTTGTTGAATTGTTGTTGTTGCCGTTGCTCTTTTTTTTTTTTTTTTAGTCCAGAGAATTTTTGGGATCGGGTTCCCCGATCCTTGTTACAGAGCAGGGACGGGAACAGTGGTTGGTTCCCCGTCGGGGATCGGGGCCGGGAATGGAAAA